AAAAAAAAAAAAAAAAAAAAAAATACTTCATCTTAAACAACTCCCAACTTTTAACAGTTTTACAACATAAATAAAAAGAATGATAAACAGTCAATAGCTTGGAATAAAAGGGCAACAAGCTATACTAGGAAATATTTTTATGCAAACAAGATGTAATATAGAGACCAGACTCTCTTCTACAAGAGTTAGATTATATAAGCACTGTGCAATACAAACACAATGCAAGCCACATATGTAATGTGAAATTCCTAACACATTTGAAAAAGTCAAAACATAAAGAACAGTTGAAACTAATTTTAATAACATTTTATTTAACTGGGTATATCTAAAACATCATTTCAGCATGTAACATTTTAACTCATTAATGAGATAATTATTTTTTGTGTTTAATCCTTTAAAATCCAGTGTCAGTTTTACATTCCAGGACATCTCTATTCAAATTTTAAATTTTCATCAGAAACTCTTGATCTATAAGTGGTACCTCAGTCACAAACTTAATTCTTTCCCCAACTCTGGTTGCAAACGAAACTGGATGAGAAACAAGTCAAATCCATTGATTAGGTTCAGTGTTGACCTTATGGGAAAATTTGATTTAATTCTTGTTCACTTTGGTTTGCCCAGAAACGTGGAGAGAATTAAGTTTGTGAACCAAGGTACCACTGCATTTAAATTCCTAAAAGGTATAGTTGAAAAAAACAATTCACATACCCAAGTTGTTCTAGGCATGCTCAAAAGACCCGGCAAATTTATCAAGTATCAGTTTTTAAATTAAATAAACTTGAAATAAAGAGTTTTTTAACTGATATTACAGTACACACTGCCGCACTTCAAAGTCTTAAGAGTCAATAATACCTACCTTTCGTTCAGTGTATGGTCACACTCGGAGATAATGATCCTTAAGAATGTTGGAAATTTAACTAGTATATGTCATTGCTGTTACATGTTATACACAAGTGATCATAAGCTAAGTCTGCTATGCAGCACGGCCTCTGCATTCTCCATAAATCTTGAAATCATATTGTACCATTTCTTTCCAACAACATGTTTTCATTCCTCTCAACTAACTTACCCATTCCTCTCTCTCGAGTGTCTTTAGAGGAGGAAGCATAGAAGCTGAGAAGGAAAGTTTGATTGTAGCACCACGACAGTCAAGTCTGAACCTCAGTATTGGAATGGAAGCTCCTTGAGAACGGAGATCTTGTCTGCCTTCACAGGCGTGTTCTAGTCCCTTCCCCCTAGTGTCAGGGCTGACCCCAAGTGTACGCTCAAGTATTTACTGAGCCAATTTACCACTGTGCAAATTTGGCACAGCATTTCACTCTCTTTTTTGGTGGTACCAGGGATTGAACTCAGGCCCTTGCATTTGCAAGGCAGGCAGCAGAACCACTGAGCCAAATCCCTGGCCCTCTTCACTCTCTTTAATATTCCTTCTTTTAATTAATGAAATGACCTACCCTGCAGTGTTACTGTAAGGATTAAAGTTGACAGAAGATCAAGAGAGAAATGCCTAGCATGTAGCAGTCACTCGCTAAATGGCAGCCATTCTAGCAGCTGCATTGTTTAAATCGACCCAACTAGAAATTGACTTTTCCAAGTCCACCGTTTAGGTGAATTTTTATTCACATTGCAGATAGCGATAACAGAAAGCCAACAGAAGATGTGTTGAATTTTCATTTTGAAAAGACAGTTAAATTATATCTTAGCTTTTACATATCCAATTGTACAGAAATGTAGAGTTCAAGCTATGCATCAAGAAAAAAATTGTTCATGTTCCACAAAAATTCAATGATGTGGATAGATTTTTCTTAGCCATTGCTGCTACATAATGTATTTGGTTCCACCAATTTGACAAAGAAGGCTTTCAGCCTAGTATGAAATACCTAAAGACAAAAAAAAAAAAATGTTTAATTAACAAGCACTTTTTAAAATTTGTGAGGTTTTTTTTTTTGTTTTGTTTTTCGAGTTTGTGATACCAGAGATCAAACTCAGGCCCTTGCACTTGCGAGGCAGATAATGGAACCACTGAGCCAAATCCCTACCCTTGCGAAAATTTTTAATGATCCTTCTTTTAAAAATCCAAAACATACAGTCCCACCCTTGTACAGACTAGCTTAGGGAAGAAATCCTTCAGAGAGTAGGCTGGTTTATCTGTGGTATCGTTAAGATCAAAGTTACCAAGTTTAGTTGTCAGTTGATAGTAGTTTAGTTTCTGACACATAGTGTACCCTGGAGTCTCACAGTATTTTAGGGGACCTTCCTCAAAAGTCTGCTAGAGGGCCAGGGATTTAGCTCAGTGGTGCTGCTGTCTGCCTCACAAGCACAAGGTCCCGAATTTGATCCCAGTAAAAAAAAAAAACAAAAAAAACCAATCTGCTAGAATAAAACTGTTCTGAACTAAATCCTGACAGAATTTCTTTCTTATGAGCCCCTTTGAAAAAAACAACAACAACAAAAAAAACACTTTCCTGAAAGAAAAATTACGGTTGCTATCTTATTTTCCGGCCTTTTTTTTTTTTCTAATTAGGAGATTTGAAACAGACCCACTATATTCTAAGCTCCTTTTAAGAAAGAAATGCTGTTAAAATAAGGTCTTATATTACTAATAAAACTTAGGATTTCATTCATTTCCAACTAAAAATCACTTTTTGTAGCAGCAGTTAGCTTTTATCAGTATTCTTATTTGACATTATAAGTTAAATATAAATAAGACCTGAAAAAATTAACTGAAGATGCTCTACCTCATACTCAAAAATTGCTGTTATGTCCTCAGGAATATCCCATTTGTCAGGCTTTTTGACAAGAACTTGATAGTAAAGAGTCCTTCTAGTACCCTACAAAAATAAAAAAGAATTATGAGGTAAAAACTATATGATTAATATATTAATCATATATTTAGAAATTGTGGAGATTTCAATTTAATGGAAATAAAATGCTTTATTCATTCCAGAAAAATAAAATTGTATAAATTATTTTGATTAAAAATGACATGGACATTTACTATTATGCATTTGATATTTGCAGCCAATAGCTTTTACTCGTGACCTGAGATGACCAAAGTTACTTCGAAATGCTTAGGTATCTGAAAAGATGAATTCACAGTGGTTAAACCATGTCAACACCACTCAGTGAGAGAAAATGGAAGTCTTTTAATACGGATTAGTCTCTATTTTATCAGAAGAATGGAACCGCATGTTTAAACCCATTTATCCAAAGGGTATTTCTGTTTCAGGTGCTCTTCTGAAGCTCTGGCTTCAATATCCCAGCCAGCGATGACTCTGATAGCCACCCACATTCCTTGGGCATGGTCCCCAGTTTCACAGCAAAACGATCAAAGCCTAGCTTTGCGCTCTCAGTGCAAACTGATTCTGTTATAAGAGTGGGCTGGGGTCGGGGGGTGACTAGGAAAAACATTGGCTACACAGGTTTAAAATTTATTAAGGTTGCCGGCTGTGGGGACACATGCCCGTAATCCCAGCACTTGAGAGGCTAAGGCAAGAGGGTCACTACAAGTTCAGGGCCAGCTTGAGCTGTATAGTGAGTTCAAGGCCATCTGTATTACATAGACCTTAACTCAAAAAGCCAAAAAAATAAATAAAGATGTATTAGTATAAATGACAAGAGCCAATGTTAGTGAACTATAAAATGAAAAATAAGATATGGAAAACCCAGATTACAAGAGAGGTTGCTAATCTGGAATGATCCTGAAATGAGTTACTGATCCTGAGTAACAGAAGTCTTTCTCCTACCATGTTGCTCCCTATCTGGTTTGGGGGACAGGGTATAGTATATGTCTCACTCAGAACAGAGTGGCTTTCGAAAATAGATTCTGTCACCTATCCTGCTTCTTCACTTCCCAAAACGGTCTTAGACAC